CCCCAAAACCCCAAAACCCCAAAACCCCTAGTGGATGAAATAATGTCAAAATGGGTATAATTGATATTTGTATAATATAAATCATTGATTATAATGGAAAGTAGAGGCTAAATGCATTAACCAACTCGCAAACATTCTGAGGAACCGACATGTGCTATATGCGTAGAAAAGATAGATTATTACGGAATAGGTGAGTGTGGACACAATATGGTCTGTTGGAGATGTATTATGAAGCAGAGAATGAAGATGGACAAAAAGGAGTGTCCAATATGTAAGCAACAAAATTCAAAGGTATTGATTACAAAGTATATTCATGAGACTTTGGCAACCTGCCCTGATCCTATTTATGACAAGGAATCTGACGTCTACTATTCAACTCCAGCAGCTAAAGGCGACATATTGCTTTAAATTGGAAACTATTGCAAACTATGTTCGACAGAGGAAATGCGCAGAAAGTTTCCCACTACTAAGTCATTATTAGATCACTATGATAATTATCACAAAAAAGCTTTGTGTGAAAAGTGTCTTGAGTTTAAGCCAGTCTTAATGTATGAGTAGGAGCTCTTTGAGTACAAATAATTTCAGCATCATATGAAAAGAGTCCATCCCATTTGCTTCTTTTGCAATTTCCTTCATTTCTATGATCAAGATAACCTTAATCGCCACTACTTGAAAGATCATCATTTTTGCGACATTTGCAAAAAGCAAGGCAAAAAGAGAAATATGGAAAAAAATAAGTATACTAATTTGCCAGAGTATGAAGTCTATAAGGACTTTACTGAACTAAGGGATCATCATACAAAGAGACATTTCACTTGTGAGTTTAAATAAGAGTATTGCTTGAATCTGGTATTCGAGGATGGTCCTCAGTTGGCTTCTCATTACTTCAATGTACATGGCATCAGAAAAGAGGTTAGAGTCGAATTTGGATTCTCTGATGATGAGGATGTAGATGATAGATTCTAGCATGAAGAGGAGAAAAAAGAGAACGCTCAGTTGACTAAGGATAATTATAGAGAAGTTTTCCCTACTTTAACACAGAGTAAAAAGTAGATCATGGCTGAAGCTGGGATTCAAGAGAGAGAACAGTGGCCCTCATTGATATAACAGATTGTTAAAAAGCCTAACATTAGTGTGATGAAGGCAGTGTAGGACAAATAATCGCACCTTATGGAAAGTGCTAGAGTCAAAAAGGAAAAGCAAGATTATCATAAAATGATCAGACAGATTGACAATGAGGATCTGAGTTTGGAATTCAATGAAGCAGCTAACACGCTTTAATTCACCTAGATAGAGGAAGTACCTAAAATAGTATCAAACAACACAGGAAAGAAGAAAATGAAGAAAGTCATTGTGGTGGAGGAAAGGAAGCATGAGGAGATCAAGAAATCTGACTTCCCATAACTCATCTAAGAGGAGAGTAAAAGGCCCTAAACTCAACAGCAGATTAATAGATCTGGAATTAATGATAATACCTGGAATGTAGTCTCTGAAAATAAGATTGCAGGAAATACTAACAAGACTAAGCCGAATAACAACAGCATATAACAATAAACTAGTCAGAACTTTAGTAAGGGCGTTGATTAGAAATTCAAGCAGGAATTTCCTACATTGCACAAGCAAGAGAATGGCAAGAAGCCAGTGGTATAGGATCCAGGTACGAGTGCAAGAGGAGATGGAGGCGGCGGGTATGATCCATAGAATGCTAACGGGGCTGCTGCAGAGGTAAAGAAGAAAAACCGGAAGAAAAAAGACAAGGGCGAGGCTGTGGTTGACTGGACAAAGCTTAACAAGTAGATTGACTACAAACAACTATTCTGACCACTAATTAATTTGTATTTCTTACTTAAATCTCTACTTTTGGCTATAGGGGTTTTGGGGTTTTGGGGTTTTGGGG